ACTCTTTCAAACCAGAAGGGGACAACACAGGCAGAACAGACTAATGGGCAACAAAGGAAGGAAAGCAGGGAATACTGTAAAGCCTTTATCAGAGTAGTTGAACCATAGGGAATTCATTCTACAAAGACACACAAACTTCCCTGAATTTTAAGCCAAGCTCTTCAATTTGAACAGGTCTGAAGAAACATCCAGTACACCACTTACAAATAAGCACTATGGGAAAAACAAATTTTTTCCTGTTTCCTAATATATGTATTATCACATAGTATACATTCACCTGATACACATAAATCTGCAGTAACTGAAATCAGCTGGGGTTTTCTACTTTGGAAGCCCGTATTACACTGTCATAAACAGTCTCTCATACATAATCCGTCAGCTTTCAGATCATTTTTATGTCATACATTTGAGTGGTGTACAAAGATTAGGATGTTCTTAATGTGCATTCCACAGCATCTATTTCCACTAGCATATGAACTTATCTTCAGTTCTTCCAAGTTTTGAAGCAAGATTTTTTTTTTTGAGACTGTTTTGCTTTTTAAATAACCTTCCTATGTTCTCTTCCTGCAGACTACTTACTTTTCTTCTATGGTCAAGACCTGTTGTTTTTCCTCATGTCTCCCATTAAAAACTACACTACCTCTTAAAGAATACCACAACTTTTTTTTAATTACTATTATTATTATTAATAGGAAAGACACAAGGGGGGGAATCTTAGAATGAGGTAGTTTGACTATTATCAGTTTTCTCTGTTTTTTTACAGGCTTTATCTTCTAAATTCTCATTCTGAAGTTACGTATAAGTCATTATCACTTCCACTGTTCTAGTCCTACCTTTCTTCATGTTCCTACTAATTACCCACCTGTGTTCTTAATCCATCCATTTACTACTTTGCCTCTTCCCACTCAAATTGATAGTTTACACACATTAACAAATTAGCTAACGTAAGATGACAAGTGATATCCATGAGCACACCCTCAGCCACAGCAAACACTTATTAGAACTAGATGAAGCCTCAGAATAGGAAGTTTAAGCCAGCTGCCTTATTTTGCTGCACACTTAAAAGTAAGCTCAAGGACTTTTACCCCAAGTCAACTGAACACAATAACTTGTTTCTCACTAACTGGTTCATGCATCTGAGCAATTATGCTCTTTGGCCCACAGTCCAGAACCACCTGGACAAGATACTTATTATACCCTTCGGCTACATTTCTTCTACAAATCCTTTCTATTTCTGGCCCATGATCTCTTCATGATTCATGAATATTAATTATGACCAAAATAATTCTGGTGAAAATCTCATACAGGCTTGTTACACTGAAGAAACACATAACAAAGATGAAATGTAGAAAGAGATGTCACTAAACGTTCTCTTTTCAGCTAAAAAACACCCCCACATTTTACACTTCTGCAAAAAAGAACAAGAGAAAAAAAAGAAGGAAGACTAAGTGAAAGCCAGTAATTTCTGCTGTCAACAGCAATTAAAACCTTCAAGTCTTGCCCTTGCACTTTCTGCCAAACTATCAGTTAGTCTAAGAAAATACTTTAGTTAAAAAAACCCCAAACTAAACATACTTGGAAGCATTTTTATGTAATTCAAGGAATTACATAAAACAGGAATTAAGTACATTAAATCTATAACTTAAAAAGTCTAACATTTTAATTAAAATTCAAAGTAAAGTAAAGTTTTCCCCACTCCTAATAAATGTGACAGATAATGGCAAGCAAAAAGAACTTTACAAGCTAAAACAACTTTACAATTATTTACCTTGGCAGGATTCTGTGACTTCAGATTTTTGTGATGACGGTTTCGCTCCTTCTTTGCCTTTTTTTAATCTGCTCCTCTCAGCTGGTGTAGGTAGTTTTTGCCTGAGAGGTTTCAGTTCAAATGCCTGAAAGGCTATAACCGGATTTTTCTCCTCAGGAGATACTTCTTTTATAGCATCCGTTGTAATACTGTTATTTTCTACAGTTATTTGGTCCTCAGTGTCCACTGTTTTATCATCTTGGTGTTCATTTTCTTCCCTGTTGCTCAAAGCCAGTCTTTCATCTTTATTAATGTATTCAAGCTCTAACTGTATCTGCTTATACTTCAAGAGCAGATCCTCAAAACTTTCTTCCACAGAGTTTTCGTTTTTAGAAGAGTAGTTCTGCTTTCTAGATGGGGATTTTCCAAAAGTTTTGGCTGAATTACTGGTCAAGAAAACTGAGACAAGAACATGTACACCCTTAAAACAGTGGCGATATTACCACTGAAAACTAAATTATGACAAACAGAAGAAAAACAAACATTCTCATATATTTTACCTTAAGGCTAGCTTGAAAAATATCCCTTATAAATATGAATAGCATGCAAAAGATTTATCCATTATCATATACTGACAGCTTAAATAAACATTTTATCAAATCAACAATTTAAAATATCCTACTTATGACAAGAATTTCATGAATTACTGAGAAGTCTTGTCCCTTGCTCCCACCATCCTGCCAGAAACAACAGCTGTAATGCTGAGAAGGTTCCCTATCACAAAGGGTAAGTCAGACTTGCAAAATTCTCAAGTATTGACTCTCTGCCTGACATTCTGAAAAAAACCAGGTTAAATTCATCCTCACTCATTTTATCCTTTCATAAAATGCTAAGTCTAGCCACACCACAATTACACACTGAAGTAGCTGTAGCTCAACAATTGAGGTAAGGCACACAATAATCAACAACTGAAGGAAATAAAAAGTGTGGCTAAAGACTTGTAATCAAAACATTCAAAAATGCTCAAAGAAGATTGGGAATTACTAATTACTCAGAAAATGCTGTCTAGGCACGCCCAAGGGATAGATTTTCTTGACAACATGTTGTCTAAGGCAGGCAATGGAAATATTCTTTGGCAACTATATCCAGAATAAAAGTTCTCACAATTACAGATTCACTTCCTCTTACCTTAACGTGACACTTGAAAAGTTAAACTATCCTGTAAAACAATCATGCTTGAGGGGAAATCTTTTAGGACACCAAGTCAGGTTTGACTCATTCGACTTTCAGTTATCAATCCCGCTGTGCTAACAGCTGACTCACACCCAATTATGTGAAATGCTTTTTCATCAACATCATCTCTTAAAACAACAAATGGAGTAAAACTGAAAGCTAAAATAGGTGTCCTTTGAATGCAGACACACTGAATCCAGAGGAAGATAACTTATTTGTCTTCTGCTCACAACTTGCATCAACAACTTAGAAGCTACTATAGCAAAACATCCAACATAAGTATGAAGAATCTTGGTAAGTATCCTACAAAATCAACCTCAGTAATATGAGGAAATGTTTTGCTATACAATGCTTGCTTTAAGCTTCAGCACAAAAAGCAGAAACTATTAAACTAAATAAAATCCAGAAGGTAATCAAACAATCTATAAATACGCTGAAAATACCAAGAGCTGTGTGCAGTACACCATCAAATCACGTAATAAGCGTATTTGCCAAATTCACTTCCAACACATTTTGACTTCCAAAAAGACAACCGCATTAGCAATTTTGTGAGTCACAGAAAAGTCTGAAGCTAAGTGATTTAACATCATTTATAAAAATAATCAACTATTATTTGATATTGAAATACCTCTATAGCTTCTGGAGTTGGGTAACAAGACAAAGCTTTGAGATGTTTTTTGTGTTCAGGATAATAAAATTGCTAGAGCTACCACAATGAGAATTAGTTAGAAATTCTGTTTTTCACATATGTAGAAATTGGTTTTATATGTGGTTCTACACACAGAATCCAAGACTTAATGGAGTGCTATGAAAGGCAGACAGGCACATATACATTAAAAGTTATATCAATTGAAGAGAAACTTCAACCTACAACCAAAAAAAAAAAAAGAGACCAACTGAAGAAACTGGGAGGGCTTAAAAGTGAAGAAAAACATACAAGGAAAGAGTTTAGAATTCAATGGAAACAGAAAGTCACATTTTGGTCCCATATTTCAGACTCAAAGTTCCACAATTCTCTACGCAAGAATTCCTGCAGAATGACTATCCAACAGCTTCATGTTAAGTTGCTAGGTATTAAAAGAGAAAAGTCTATTGAAAGCTAATACCCAAAGTAACAAGAATTCTTGAACTGTTCCGCCACATCATTTACTCCATTTATACATACACTTCTACACAACACTGTGTAAAGTACTAGTTCTAACGATAAAGAAAAAACCCATCTCGTTCTCTTAGCGGACACTTAAACATTTCATTTTCCTGGGGGAATTCCAAATACCACTCCAGGCCACAAGCCTCCTTGTACGAGCTAATGTGAAGGTCTCTTCTGAAGTCACATGCCCACGAACTACGCCCCAACTCCGTTAATATTAGCAACACTAGGAATACTATAATAGTGATTCCTTTAGGTGGCAAAGAGATGAAAAATACAGAAAAGAACTTACATTGAGAGAAAATTGTGGGCCTTTCTTAACTATATGATCCATAAACAATTGAATGGCACTTAATAAAGAGCAATAGTATTCAAACCTTTCCTACCATGTTTAAACAGAAGAGTGCATCTTAAGTATTAGGGAAATAAAGAATTCCTCATGTTCTGCTTTTGGTCTGAAAATAGAATTATCAGTTTCTGAATGCTCTTTTAATTAAAAGCAAGAAGGAGACTCTCTCAATATTAAGAAGCACGGCAAGGTCTGTTTAGGATGATCGATGTTTGCCCTGCAAATTCCTCATTACACATAAAGTAACCATTTTCTGGTACTCAGACTAACACTGCAAATTAAGAGATTTAAAATCCGTTTTCAGCACTACAGAACCATCTTACTGTGCAACCTTGGGCAAATCACATCTTCACTCGCTGCCTCTCAAGATAAAATCCTTGAATCAAGAGTTCTTACGAAGACTTCGGTAATGCTGTGATGTTACCAGAAAAGACTAAAATAAAAGCATCTCTTTATCAGTAGCTTACATATTCCATTACACATTAAAAAAAAAAAAATTACATGGATAAATAATCTTGCAGTTAAATAACACAAGGATCCAATGAGCAGCTTTCAAAGTTTTACATTTTGGCACAAGCAGGAAAACTTCCTGTTCCTAGGATCAACCAACACAGTGAAACAAATGCACATCCTTTGACTATTGGTACGGAGGACAATAAAACAAATAAAAAAAGATTCTGGAAAATAGGTTTTAACCACTAGTTCTCTTCTCAGTGTTTTAGGGTTTTTCCACACTTGTCTCAGTTACATCAATTTTCAGTACCAGGCTTATACTCGGCATCAGTTCTTTCATGTTTTTTTCTATAGCAAACCTAGAAAATATAAGGAGCTTTTTCCATCACTTTCACAGCTCCTACTCCGAGAAGGAGGAAATATTAGAACTCTACTAAAAGTCACTTAACTCTAAGAGCAGCAGAGAACATCCTACCAGGAATGCTGGGTATGACTTTATAGAGAAGTAGAGCTTTCCTATGTTACCCAAACTCCCATATAAACCACCCTCTGCGTACAGTCCCAGTTCAACTTAGGTTTAGCTTTAACATCTGCATTAGCTGTGTGCAACAGCCTCTGAAGGGCTGGAAGCAAAAATGAAAAAAACAGTGGATCCTTCATTGCCCAATAAGGGAAATTAACAAGCTTAGGGTTTTAGTTTTACAACTGTGACACTTTTAATTATATACATTAAAACTGCCGCACCAAAGACTGACCCCACTTCACAATATTCACACTTCAGGCTAGAAAAGCAGCCACCTAGGATCCAACAAACTAAGGCTTTGTTTCAGGCTACACTTTTACCCTACACGGGACTGATCGGCAAGGTTGCAAACCAGGTCATGGCAGTAATCCGCCTTCCCAGTAGCCTCTCCTTGGGAGGCGGGGCCCGCTGCCCCAGCCAAGCCCTGGAACTGGCAGGGGAACCTCCCTCTCCGTTAGCCCTACGGGAGCCCTAGTGCCCGGGCGGGAAGGCAAAGCGCCTGTTCCCACGGCTTTCGGCCACGTAACGCAGCTCTGACACACTCAGGCCCACCCCGGCAGTACGGCGTCCCCGCCTCCGCTCTCACGTCTCAAGGATACATTTCCGAGGCGATGGCTCCCTCCAGCCCTGGCTGCTACTGAATCCGGCACCGCCTCCCCCTC